TATATATATATATATATATATATATATATACACATATATAATGTTGATAATGTTGCAATTCAGTTAATACTCCCTTTAACAATTCTAAAATGTTGTATATTTGCATTATATATATATTTTTTTACAATTTATCCAAGCCATTAAGTAAAATTTGAATTACTAAATTTTACAGTGGGGTACTTGAAGATCAAACATTCTCATAAGAGACAGACTTTTTTGTAGACCACATGTTTTCAGTTATATTAAAGTATGTTACACCATTTAGTTTAAATCTGTACTCATGTGCAAAATACTACAATTGCTTGCTTTAGAAAACAACATTCAGAAAAAATTGCATATGTTAATTTGACACACAGCATACAGAGCATTATTACACTATTTGAAATTGGCGTAGTCTGAGAAAATGTCAACAAAATCCTGGACCACTCTGTAGCAGAAGTCGTATTGCTCCTGCAGAGAAAAGCGAAAGAAAAAGTGTCACCGTGCAGAAATGATTCCAAACATGTTTATGCACAGCAGGTTTGATGTTATGTAGTTTTACCTACCACGGTCTGAACCATGTGTGGTCTCTGCATGCGTAAACTCTTGACTGTCTGAAAAACGTCCAGGAGGCCTTCAGCTTTCACTCTTTCCAGAATGTTACTGAGGGCAATGAAGGTGCCCGTCCGTCCTGCACCGGCACTGAGGTCATTAGGACAAAAATATTAGAAATCTCATCATAAAATGTGAACATTAAAACTTTACAGATAATTATGAAACACACCGCAGAAGATGAACAACAAGAAAAGGAACCATTTTTTAAGAGTAAAACTGCAATGAAACTCTTGTAATCTCACCACATCCTTTTTCCATTTAACTAAAAAAAGTTAGCGGGAGAAAAAGGTGACCTCTGTGTAATGGTGCTAATAATTATCCCCACTTAAAGAGAGGCTAATCCAAACGCTAACACTAATCAGTCTAGAAGCTCAGTGTTTGACTGAGTCAATGTTTACAATGATGGTGGGATGGAGGGAGAAAGACAGAGAGAGACAAGGAGTGAGCGAGAGAGCGATGTGCGATTTGGAAGAGAAGTGTAGAGAGACGTTAGGGATTGCAGCGGGTTAGCCCCATTCCCAAGAGACAGAGAAAAAGCTTTAAAAAGCCCCTCTTAGACAAGTGGTGATGAAGGAATAGAAGAGAGTGATGACACCATTTCCTGTCGTTAGCTCATCTTATCAGATTAATCATAGTGGGAGTCAGAGGAGATTTCACTTTGAGAGGTTTTAATTGACTGTGAATCAGTGGATTGGATCAATCCCACAGGGGCATGCTGCTTTAGAATCACTTCACCTGAAGCTAGGTTCTGATCAAAGCTTTCACAGCTAAGTCTTTATAAGGGATCACATAAGTGGTTTAGGCATAGAACACCAAGCCTACCGAGGAGAGGAAAAATGTACAATTTATTGTAACAGACATTTGTAGGAGCAAAAAGTAGGGAAAATGAAACGGGTTATATTAAAAAGCATGAGTGGACAGCCACAAAGTGTAATATAGTGTATATAATTTCCATCTGATGATGTGCACCACGCTGCAGAATTCTCAAATTGAAGTTCCTCACCTGCAGTGCACAATTATGGGACGGTTTCCAGACTGCTGCTGCTGCCTCTGCACAGCGGCAATAATGTCAATCATCCCTCTTCCCTCGGCTGGTATTCCGATCTCAGGCCATCCGTGGAAGTGGAAGTGTCGGACATGTTGTGACTGCTTTTCCTGGTGTTGGGCAAATCTGATTGTTATTTTCATCTAATTAAAAAATGTAAATGGAATGAAATGACTTTAATTTGCTTTGATGATAATAGCACAAAGAAAACAGGTTGGGAAATTTGTTCAAGTGAAATGTCAATTTTAATATTGTTAAGTGTTTTAATTAAACATTACGCACTGGTCTGTAGGTGAGAACCATGTCTTTGAGAGTGAAGGTTTCACACTGTGTATCTCCAGTCAGCTCCACCGTATAATCTCCAAATGTTACACTGCCCTCTGATGGCCAATACCGGTAACACTTTTCCTGGTTGAAGAGTTCAAATGGAAACGCAAACGGGCTACAGTTAACTGGTTTATATAGTGTTTGGTTATTGTAACATGAAAATTAATAAAGACAAAACCACAACACACATTGACAATTATGCAAACTGTATGGAAAATAAATATGAAAAATTGAATAATAAAACATGGTTTAAATGTTCAACTCTGCTTTTCAACCTGTACTTTTGCAAGAACACCATACTGTACCTGCTCCCTCTCTTTGAGTTCGGTGAGCATAACGATTGAATGGCACCTCCACTCCCACACCATCCTCCAGAAGTCCTCCACTGTGTGAGACAGTGGGCCCTGGGTTGCGATAAAATAGTCCTTCTGCCTGTAGCCCTGGAGGGCAGATCATCTGGTAAACAACACTTGAGAGTGCAGCAAACATAATATTTTGCATTGTTTGTAAAGGAAACAATGAGCTTTATATATACTTCTATGGGAAATCTATACAGGAGGTCGTGAGGGAGTGCTTACATCAATAAAGGAGGCATTGATGTAGTCAGTGAACTCCTGTCCTCTTTTCACTGAGAGTATTACTCGGTTGAAATCATCTGCAAACAGAAAAAAGGAAAATGAAACTTTTCACAAGTGATTCCTAATAAAATAAAACTTTGAAAGGGCTGACGAAAAAAAAAAAATCCTAGCCGAGCTAAAACTTTAGCTGTGTTATTAAGGCCAAACGCGCTGCAGTTTATATCTGTTTTCAGTGTAAAAAGTTGTACCCAGGCTTACTTTTCCTACTCCAACTGCAACATAAAGTAAAGATAGAAGCCCAATTTAAATGTCACTGATCACAGAGACATGAGCTGATTATCCAGATATCTGTGTACGGCATCTATAAAATCACCAGCAGCGTGATACTTTGATGTTACTTAGATGTGATGTATTATGAAACTGTTCCGAGTATGAGTGAGTCCTTACACGGAATGATCTGAAGCACACGGTTCTTCTTCATGTTGGCAGGAAGGTTCCCAGTTCTCATGTTCTCCTTCATTATGCGAACGTTGGTCAGCTTCTGATGGGAGAAAACACGCACAGACGGAAATGATGAAAACGTACATATAGAAAAGTACAATGCTAATAAAGCTGGTGAGTCGTTTTAAAAACAGATGATGCTGGAACATTTCCATACTTGTAACAAGTAAAAGCCAAGAAGCTGGACAAAAAACATTAAGGTAGAGACGAAGAAGAGGTGAAGAAGAGGCATTGGGGAATAATTCCTTCGAGTGTGTAGGGAACTGTGAAGATACTTTGTAGCAAAAATGTGAAATTTTCACAGAGCTACAGTAAATTCTATGAGGCAGATGGTGGTGCCTTATAAAGTTTAGTTGATCCAAAGCATTGTTATTTATGTTACTACTGCCAAGAGCTGCACCCTGGGCAAGTTTTCCATGAAAATATACCCATGCAGGGCGCAGGGTGATGGGCACGATTCATTACTGTCTGAAATGTTTAAGAGAGAGCTTCTTTCTTCATACCCTGAACTCCTCCTCCAGGCCCAGCCTGTCGTGGGGAGCCCTGGTGTTGTGAAGCCTCTGCAGATGGCCCTCCAGAGAGCACACATCTAGCTCTGTATCTCCATACAGATAGTACTCCAGCAGAGCCTGGTAGATAAAGGAGTACTGCATCTAAGAAAGAGGAAGACGAGAAGACGAAGTTATAGAAGTAGTTGCTTTGGTTTGCCAAACTATTTCCCACTATTTTTGCATCACAGACATTGTTGTTTCCTATGCCCTCGCTTGTTTATGCCACGACCAGAGCAGCGAGTTGAGCTGTCAGTCCAAGGTACAACAGGTCGGAAAGGGTCAATACTTACATCTGTCTGGATCAGTTGACAGCGCTGTTCTCGTATTCTGCTCACAAACCCAAAGACATCCACTCTCTGTTCTATGTGCATCATGTCGATCATGCTGTCAATGACAATGAACGTCCCAGTCCGCCCAACCCCGGCACTGTGGAAACACAAACAAGAAGCCTCAAGGTCTTCTCTGTAACAAACAGCAAAGTGTACAGAACACCGAAAAATGTGGTTGGGAAGCGTTGAATGTAACATTCTATTTACATGTGCAAGAGCCTTCACAGGAGTGAATGTATACATACCACAAACACCTGAACATTTCATTTTCTAAGCGCTTCTTTTTTTTTTTGGCACAAGTTATTATATTTCTCTCAACATAGAAGTCAATTGTGAACAGCTACAACCATATGTAGAAGTACTTCACCTCTGAAGCCCAAGCACAGCCCTAATAAATTTACAGGGGTCATTTCAGCAGACGACACCTCTGGGAGCACAGAGCTTGGATTCCACGGTGGGGTGTTGAGGTCTTTTCAATGGGCCCCATTCAAGAACAACAGTTCCACCTCCCTGAGCACCTGTTGCACCAGTTGCTACAGTTGGCTGCAGATTTCTTTGGTGGGGCTTAACACTGGTTGGTCAGGGAACATATACACACCCTATGCAAGGATTTTTATTCATCCACAATGGGCTTAACTGTAGTTTTTATTAAATTTGTTACCTTTACTCATAACTATGAGCACTGAAAAAGTCTTTCCTGCATCCTAACAATGAAATGCATCAACTCACACCGGATTTATATAACTGTGCTCAGATGCCTTCTTCTGGCTTCCTTTTTACTGCACATTTTACCTGCAGTGCACAACAATAGGTCCAGCGTAGGATGGATTGACAGCTTTGACCTTCTTGAGGAATTTCAGCATGCCGATGGGTGAGAATGGCACTCCGAAGTCTGGCCAGCTGGTAAAGTGAAGCTGGGTGACCAGCCGGGGAGCTCTGGGACCATCGCTGCCCTGCTGTGAAGCAAAGACGCACAAGGTTCATATCGGTGCATAAATAATGCTTTGAAGGCACAAATAAGTCATCTGTCTTTTTATTTTTTACAAAGCCAGTCAACCACAAACTGGTACCTACTAGAAAAGGAACTTCAGTTTTATTGATTTTTTTGTCATTTTGCTTTTTGGGGTAGAATGTAATTATTAAACACTTTGCCTCACTTTCATTTCTCATCGATACTCTAGAGATCAGAATTCCATTCTCTTGAACACTTGGTTGCTTTGTGTTCTGAGAGCTGAATGTTAAAGCACCCAGTCTGTCAGCTTGTACTGAAGAGCTACAGCAGTCACAGTTTTTAGAGTCAGAGAGGATATCTGTGCTCGTCTAGCTTCAGATGGAGAGGGAACAAAGTGAATTTTGGAGTCTGAAGGCTTCGCAGTACACTGAGTTGGCATCCAACTCGACAGTCAAAAAGACAAGAAAAAATACAGATACTGTATGTGTATGAATTTCGAAAGATAAAATGACGGAGCCAAACACTGCATATTAATACAGTTCTCGCTGTATTTTAAATACACCTACATATTTATAATTTATGCTGTGTCTGTTATCTGTAGCCTTTGATATTCTCTAATATGTTTCCATACTGGTTTTTCATTTATTTATTATATTTTGGATCCTATTAACGTTTGCTAAAATGCTCCAATTTCCCCATGGGGACCATTTTTGCACCATCTCACCGCGGCTTAGTTTCATCTTCAATATTTAATAGGAATCTAGCAACTACACACATAGGTTGTTACATTATTACAGTAATTAAGAAGAATATTAAGAATAACTCGTAAAATTACAGTATTACTTTTAAACCATGTGTAGATGTTTAAATAAAAGCAGCAATGTACGTTTATTTTTCCTTTCCTTACAGTACAGTGTTTAACAGCTGCAAAACCATATCACACACGCACACCAGTGTGTGAAATATACTCCTGGAAACACCTACTCTAGCAGGAATTACCACAAAGATGTTTTTCAGTACTTTTGCAGGTGTTTATGCACTATATGCACAAAAGTATTGGGTCACACCTCTTAATTTGTGAATTCAGGTGTTTTCAGTCCCATAGCCACGGCTGTATAAAATCAAGCACCTCGTCATGAATCTTTGTACAATTTCTTCCCTCCTAGATATTTCGCTATCACGTATAAGTGCTACAGTTTTACTACAAGGCAAGTGCTAAGGTGCATAGTGTGTAAAAGACTCCAACGCTGTGCTGACTTTAAAACAAATAGTTTCTAAACCTCTGTGCACTCTGTGCTTCATGCCATGGTTTACATAGCCGAGCAGCTCCTGTAAGACTAACGTGTAGGTGGTCAGTACATTTGTAGTATGTGTAGATTCACATATTTTACTTACATATTGAACACAGAATTTTCTAATGGTGTAGTCCACCAGTACAATGACATCCTCTAACGCCACCCTGATGTTCCCGTACATCCAGCAGCCTTTTTCTGGCCAGTACTGATAACATTTTTCCTGGTAATGGAGAAAAACAATACAAATTATTTTTGTGGTACTGCAAGGAAAATGAATACCACTAAACATGCATAGGAGCTCATTTGTCCTTGCAATTGTTGCTATAGACATGCATCTATTTTGTACATACTATAGCCACATATAAAACTATCTATTTGATGTGTGCCTTTTACAAATTCAAAGGCACTCACAGCGACTTTGTGCTACTCTTTCAGTCAATAAGATCTTCACAATGACGTTTCAACTCATTAAATACATTCTCAGACTAATTATCATGAAGCCTCCTAGGATCTTATCAACAATTATTTCATCATTGATCCCCATTGCCTCTATTCTGCCCCATCAAACCTGCTGTTGAGCGCTCAATTGATCATCCCTTTGAGGCTAAATTTAATGCGATGCTAAGTAATCTGCTGGGTGACACTTTGCATGGATTCTCAGTTAAGAGAGGGGGTCGAATAAATTATGTCCATGACTTTGGGTCTTGAGAACTTAAAAGGGTTTTCACTAAACGTGCATCGGAGGCACAGGGATTTTAGATTTCTTTAGAATAATGCAGTGCAGAGAGAGAATACCTCCTTCCTTTCTTTTAAATTCGTCAGCATTACTATAGTTGTTGTTTTCTGTTCCCAAATCATCCACCAGAAGTCAGCCACTGTCTCAGGTTTTGGACCTGAAACAGAATCAAGAGATGTAGTAAAACCAAAGTGAAAATGGTTATAGACTTGGGTAAGATGAAAGAAAATGTGCATTTACCTTGAGCTGCAATGAATTTGTTCTTTTCTTTATAACCCTATTTGTGAAAAAAAACCCAGTAGTGAATGAACATTTTGATGAGGAGTTTTATTCACTTTATAGCTTAACCTAATTACTACTCACATCTATGTAAGATGCATTTATGTAGTCTGAGCACAAGTGTCCATCGAGATGACTTAACACCACCCTTGAATGATCGTCTGTGGAGCAGAGGGGAAAAAAGGTAAATAAAAGTGGTTCTTAATTTTCATTTCAGCCCACAGCACGTTTCCTTATGTTGGCTATCAATAAGTCTGCAAGCCAGAGGGCTTTTGCAGAAATACTGTCTCTAACTGCAGAATATAGATCCTCACTCACATGGTAAAATATTTGGATATCTGTTTTTCTCTCTGTTGTGCTCTCTGCTCGCCTCCTCAAAGGACCCATGGTGGTAGTAACACGGCAGTGACTATAAAGAGAGAATCCAATCCTCATGAGATAAAAATAAAGCCACGGGTACAAAGGCTGCTAAGATATAATCTTAGTACTGTTTTTGTACACTTTTTGCTGTATGGTTGCAGAACAAAGATCTCAATCCACACCAAATAAATGCATGCTTACATTGAACTCTTCTCTGAAGAGCTTGCCATCATCTGCAGAGCGTATCCGGTACTCCTCCTCCAATGAGTCCAAAGGGATAGGGAAGTACCTCTTGGATGGTGAAGGAGATCTGGGGAGGAGGACCACTGTCTGCTCTCCTGTGGTTAAAAGAATATATGGTGGTCAGACTGCTAATGTCTCCCTGTAGAGAACATTACAAGCTCTTACAGCACCTGCAAAAACAAGCCTGATAGCTATTAAGATTTCCTACTTCAGGGGGTATATCACGACAGAAATGATTTCTTAAGCCATAAACATGCCCCTGCTGCACAAAACTGTCTTAACTCAGAATTTGTCCTTTCTGTTTATTTATGTCCTTTTTTTTACTTGAAGTGAAACTTCATATGGTTCCCTACAGGGTAAGAGCCTTCGAAGCTACTTTGGACTCCAGATTGTGAAATCTTTCTTGTCCATAAAGAGACTGAATTTATAAACCAAATAAAAAAAAGGCTTAAAAAGCAAAAAGGTTGCTTTATATTTTCATGCAGTGGTTATCTTGAGTACAGCACCGACGTACCTTGCTCCTCCAAGAAGCCGTTTGGAATTTTTTTATCCACTGAGGTAACCAGAGCTTTCCTGTGGTTTTTGAACCTACGGTAAAAAAAAAAAAAAGAGCTAAGCTTGATCTCTACAATGGTGCCACTAAGCACATAAGTAAACAACAAATACCAAAACCAATATCAACCATCTCATAGAACCAAAGCTGTTCCTCCTCATGTTGTGGTCAGCTGGCTGGTCAGTGAATGAGTGTCTCTGGCGTGACTTGACCTAGCCGTCTTTGTTTATTGTCTTAGTGGAAGAGCAGCTGTTTATCCATAAGCCACTGCTGACCGCCTATTTAAAAACCACTACACCCCGATGCCCCAACCTGATGTATTCACCCTCATGCTTGCGCACATACACGTGAAAAGGGAGCTGGAATGAGTGAGAAAGTGTTAATGTGTATGTACAGATTTATTCACCGCAGGCAGTAGATTGTCAGCAGGACAACGATGATAAGAAGAAGAGATAAAACCAGTGTTGAAGGCAACACATGCACACCCTGATGGGTGGAGTTTCCTAGATAAAAAACAAAGTGAACAACATATATTAGTTTACAACAAAACAAGCTTTTAATCTAGATATCACATATTACGGAATTTACTATATCTGAGATGTCAAGAGCCACATGTAGTCCACTTTGATCCCTTTCTGTCAGTGTGAAGACATTTAACAACACATTTAAAATAACTGAGATTTGTTAATACAAGAAAATGTGCAATTTCAACAGTACATCTCAGTTTTTCTACTTGATAAATAAATGTTGGTGTATTAAATGAAATAAATGTGTCACCAAGAATAATAAATATAAGTGTAAACATTTTAAAAGTTCTGGTAGCTCATTGTCCAGACTCTCCTGTAATTTCAAAACTAAAAGTGACTTCCGGTTTTTTCTATTGTTGATTTTTTATGTTTTTTATTTTGTCTGTTTTTTTTTAATCTATTATTAATCTATTACTTAACTACTTGTCAATGGGGAGATCTTCATGAGTAGGAAAAGCTATAAAACTTATGAAAATACAGTCAAAAGTCCAAAATCTATGCTTGCCTTGACATTTTCCAAAGCCATCCAGCTGGCCAGATTGGAGTCTTTGCTCAGCTGATTCTGGCCCCTGGGGCTTACTGTGTGTTTGACAACCTTGGACTATAATAAAGAAATATACTGCAAATACATTACTTGCACATGAAGCAGAGCTTCGGTTGAAATCAGTTTTTTTTAACCTTTAAAGAGCACTCATTGACAATTAATTTTTTCCTTTTTTTATTTAAATTTAATTCAAATTAATTTGTAAAGTGGTTTTAAGGGCATTTCCTGGACTATTTTTTACTGGAAGTCACTAATCACTGTCTAGAAATAGTGCAATTTTGTGCTAATCTAACTGGTGCTAATATAAGATTTGACAGACAGACGTGAAAATGTTCAGTCCATCTAACTTAAGAAAGAGCATTATTATGTGAAATGTGAATCTCTTCTTTACAGCATGACTTTGTACATTTTTTGAAAAATTGTAACTGAAGCCATAAATGACAATGGTGCATAAAATAGAGTAAAATATAGGGTAACAGAAAAGATCAGCATATATGTCTTAAGTTTGTTTATTAAATCATAAGGTACGAAATATACAAGTTCGAGTAACGTTGAATTCAAGTCAGTTTATCTGGTTTTCCTTTATATGTGAAAAGAAAAACCGTATCCTTCTAGAGTCAGGCTTTAACATTTATTTCTTAGACAATATAATTGCTCAGTTGTTTCATCAGTTACCTGCAGTTTGGTTCTCATGAGAAGAATTATTCACAGGAATTGAGATCCCAATCAGAAACAACACCATTGTCACTGTGGATAAAAGAAAAAAAACCCAAAGCAGTCACTTCAACAGAAAAAAACTAAAAATAACAGAATAAATCCTGCAATTCTACACAAACTCCACTAGACGGCACCAAACTGACATGAAATGCACCTACAGCTGGATACAAAACATAGAGGGCACAAAGGGGAGCTGGGCTTTGAAGATGTCTCTCTGCTGAGCAGTTAAAGTACTTGTGGGAAATCTGCTTGCTGTCTTGTCCTGTCAGGCAGACTTGAAAGAGCAGCATCAAATAACCTAATATTCAGACATCAAACCAGAGAGGAGGCCTTAACCCACAGGTGACAGTAACCATATACCCTATGGGCCTAGAGGATTTGGCAGTGGAGCTGAGCTCAAGCAGTATTTGTTCGAGACTATCTTGTTTTGCTGTGGTCTGTTTGATGTACAGCACTATGCAAAGCTTAGCGGCAACAAGACACACGTGTGTACTCACTGTACTTTGTTTTTTTTTACAAAAGTAAGTTCATGTTGCACATTTAAATAGGTTACACCTCTGCCTCACTGAACCTTCTCCCATATTCTCCATCTTTCACCGTTTCTTTCTCCGCCGAACCATAATTTTACTCTAAACTATATTCTAACTCTTTCCTTTGGCTTTATAGCTGAAAGCTTTTAGTGATGTATTTGGGGCAGAGTGCCACGAGTGTCCTTACAAAAAGGAAAACAGTATGTCAAATTCCTTACAACTTCGTCAGAATTAAATTAATTCCAACACATTATGTCTGTCTTTTTTATCTACAAAGTACCAATTTCTCCAAAATCATATCCATTTCTTCTTTCTTTCCCATCCTCCAAACGAGAGGGCATAAAAATCACAGAATAAATTGGGCAAATGGGGCAAATCTGTCTAAATGGCTTTGATGGAATAAATGGGAGAAGCAAGAATTGAGTGTCCTAATTTATCCTCTGTTCTACCTCCCGACTTGTTATAGAGGCCACAAGACTGGATGGAATAATTCATTGTGTCAATTTAGTTCTTCTAGAAATGGGTCATCTAGGGGCCTAATTTGTGATGTTTGAGAGAATTTTTTGCACATAACCCAAGGGGGGTTTCATATAACTATGGCTCCCAAAGCTTTTGTAGAAAACTGAGCTACATAATAACCCTCTAACAATGTTCCCAAAACAAAATGTATGCCAAAACCTATAAATTACTATTGGACAACAAATAAGTGGCTGTGTTTTGTTTGTATTTCAATTTCTCTCTGCAGCAACACGCTACACAACACCTATGATCGAGACACACATTTACACAGAAAGTTGAGGCTACTGTGCATTTTTTTTTTTACCTGAATAATCCCCGGGAAGACAAATCAAATAAATCCACCCAATTAATGGCCCAGAAGCATGACTGTGTGCAATGCACATACGCTCACTGCCTTTTCACATGTACGCATGCCTGCACATAATGTACGCCCCACAGCCAAAGGCAATGTGTTGCATATGTGCAGCACTCTGCCGAAGGAGCCACTTCTATACCCAGTGTTAACAAGCTGACAGTGCCAGCACCTGTTACCCGCTCTCCCCCACGAGGCAAGTCACATTCGCTCACATCGTACATCCCGCAACTAGATGTTGTAAGGCATATTGCGCGTATGGGGGTCACCGCACAGGTCATTGCATATCTGTCATATTCTGGCAGCTCCTGTATATACACCGTATAGCCAGGAAATAGGAGAAAAGAGTTTCATTGTGAAAAGATGTCAAATGCTCTGTTACCTTGAGCAAAATCGTAAAAAGAAGAAACAGTAAGTCATATCTTTTTGTATCACTAAAGGGAAAAGCAGAAGCGGAAAATAGAACAGTGTGAATGAATTTTAAGATAAGATAAGCAACTCTAGTGTGACCAACAGAGGAACAGCACAGCTTATATGCTGTACTGACACGCTGTAGCATAACAAAAACACACTTATAACTTTTTAACCTTACGGCTGGCGGTATATATCATAATTAGTAGACCCAGTCATTTAACCCTCATAGAAAGGGGAACCTGTCCAGGGTGTACCCTGCCTCTCGCCCTATGACAGCTGGGATATGCTCCAGAACCCCCCGCGACCCTGAAAAGGATAAGCGGAAGCATGGATGGATGATTGTGTCATTCCTAGCAGGTATTGCATCGTTCACTCCAGATGCCTGCTTTTTCTCTTTAATGAAATACTTGCAGCAGTGCGATTACTTCAACCTGCAGCACCTGTTTGACATAAATGTTCCCAGGAAATAAAATTATACTGCATCACTTATGTTGGGAGTGCAGACGCAAATCATCCCATCCATGCATGATGTAATGCAACGATTCAGAACGCACGTATGCATTATTCATCAGTGATCCACTTTGCTTTGTGAGCACAGAGGAGACAATGATCAGCACATGAAAATAAATGTGTGTGGCAGCTGCAGAAACAGACCCTGCTGGATTTCAGCAGTATAAACTTCAAATCACTCCCCTCCTAGAGTTATGATGTCCTAAAAGATCTATTTCCAACAATAAAACAAAGAAAACACAAAATAAAGCAAGAAAAAATGTTGCTAACCTGGGTAAGAGAATTTCCTAGTTCTGTTATCAAAATGATTGTCTTCACTGTTAATTAGTTTTGTATTTATCCTCACAGATGTGGCTAGGCAATGTCTTCTTAAATAAAACAACAGCTGTATGAAGCCACCACAAATATGTTCCCTATTGTTGCTGTTTATTTGAGCAAATGCTGGTGAAGAATTTAACATATTTTAAATAAAGCAGAGCATCACATCTCGAGGCTTACCATCTGACGTCAGTTAAACACCTTTTTGTAAATAATTTATTATATTCACAGATCAGAGAGAATAAAATAATATGAAGGTTTTACAAAAATCTGATTTTCTTATTTCTATCGATTTCTGTAGATAGATACAGCAACTTCAAAATTATTTATGATAGTCCACATTTCCTAGGCATGGCTCTGGGGTGGGGCTCTTGTGGTCCTCTCATGAACAGGGTAACTTGCTCACTTTATTTGCTTTCTTTACATGGGGGTTCACTGAATTTGTCTTCTTCTGGCCCCTCACCCAGGAACAATCTGCCTTGGGAGAGCCTATCAGGAGCAAATTGCCCCAAGCGACACAGCTCCTGGGGTCACTAGGGTAAAAAACCTCCCCAAGGTGGCGATTCAGCTACGGCCACAAGCTGTGACTATAGGACTGAGGTTCCAGAAATGAACGACCTCCGAAGGGCGTCTGGGCTCAGTTCTAGTGATAGGATAAGGAGCTCGGTCATTCTGAACGGGTTAACAGTGGAGGTGCTACTCCTCCTCCAGAATGTCTCCCAGGTGCCTTCTAAGTGAGATTATATCTCTCGGTTACCTTGGGAATGCCTCAGGATCGCACCCAGATGAGCTGAAGTAGGTAGCCTTGGGAGAGGGAGGCCTGGGATTCTCTGTTTAAACTGCT